TAATCCGTAGTGATTTCTTCCTGAGCCGCTGGGAGTAAAGGTCCTCCATGGATGGCAGCTCCGTCCTGGTGATGTGCTGTGCAGTTTTCACCAGCCTCTGTAAAGCTTTACGATCGAGGTCGGTGCAGCTGCCGTACCAGGCCGTCATGCTGCCAGTCAGGATACTCTCTATGGTGCACCTGTAGAAGTTGCAGAGTATCCTGGAATCCATTTTGAACCTCCTCAACCTGCGGAGGAAGAAGAGCCGCTGTCAAGCTTTCTTGGTGATGGTGGTGGTGTGAAGAGACCATGTCAGGTCCTCGGTGATGTGGACCCCAAGGAACCTGAAGCTGCTGACTCTCTCCACCGTAGTCCCATTGATGGCGATGGGGGCGTGTCCCTCTCTCTGCTGCTTCCTGTAATCCACAATCAGCTCCTTTGTTTTGCTGATGTTGAGATGGAGGTTGTTATCCTGGCACCAAGATGTCAGGTTTTCGACCTCCTCTCTGTACGCCGTCTCGTCATCGTCTGTGATCTGGCCGATGACGGTCGTGTCATCAGCAAACTTCACGATGGTGTTGGAGCTGTGTGTGGCCACGCAGTCGTGAGTGAACAGGGAGTAGAGGAGAGGGCTGAGCACGCAGCCTTGAGGGGCACCGGTGTTGAGAATCAGGGTGGAGGATGTGATGTTTCCCACCCGCACTGCCTGGGGTCTGCCCGTCAGGAAGTTCAGGATCCACTCACAGAGGGCGCTGTTGAGCCTGAGGTCTCTGAGCTTGATGGCCAGCTTGGAGGGCACAATGGTATTGAATGCTGAACTGTAGTCAATGAACAGCATTCTCACATATGTGTTCCTGTTCTTCGGGTCCAGGTGTGAGAGGGCAGTGTGGAGGGTGAGGGCTATGGCGTCGTCTGTGGACCTGTTTGCTCTGTAGGCAAACTGCAGGGGGTCCAGAGATTCAGGGAGGGAGGAGGTGATGAATGATTTGACTAACCGCTCAAAGCACTTCATTATGATGGAGGTGAGTGCTACTGGGCGGTAGTCGTTGGGGCAGGTGATTATTGTCTTTTTCGGGACAGGAACGATCGTTGAGTGTTTGAAGCATGTGGGGACTACAGACTGCAAGAGGGAGGAAACTATAGAGGGAGGAATATTTGCTAATTCATGTCCTTCAATTCCAGTATGGGCTGTTATCTATAAACATAGCACACTCAGTCCCATCTTTGTGGATTCTGTATGATGTCAGTTACATTCTATCAAAATGTCTAGTCTGCTTGTTGAATGGCTCATTGATGAACTTTGAATCTGCTTTCAATGGTCTCAATGCAAGTCTTTCTGTGCCTCGTTCTCCTACAACCAGACATGACATCTCAATAGAGAACAGTTGGCTTTAACTAGTTTAAACCTAAAGTGAGTTGACGGCACAGGAAGTGGGAGAAGATTGTGATGTGGCGAGTGTTGAGAAGATCCCATCTTTTAAGATTGTGAATTTGATGTGCAGGCTATACTTTGTGACTGTAGAGGTCAGCACAATGTAACGTATGGAGGATGTGAAGTCAGGAAAGACATGTAGAGTTTTAGAACAGTAACAAAGGAGGCAGAAACAGGGAAGAGAGTGCAAAGACAAAAGGAGAGTATAAAGAAAATCAAGAAAATCTCACAATCAGGAACATAACAAAGAGTGTAGATAAACTGAATTACTGTTCGTGTAAATAATTAGCCAAAGACAAAAGAGTGAAATGACAAAAAAAGTATTTACAAGAGAGACGTTTCCAACTAAAACTTTCATAAAGTGCTATGTTTTGCCAAAAAGACAAAATAGACTGTTCCCATTGCGGAAAATAATTGACCGAAGTAAGAAAGTGTTGAGGACATATATATCCAATTAATTAATTTGTTATTACATTACATTATTGGTTTGTGGTGTTGCAGCAGGTCCCTTTGGAACAACTGCAACATCAGCATTACAAGTTGAAATGCTGCTAGAAATATGAAGGATACAGCTTTTATCATTAAACCTGGGGAAAGGAAAGGGTAGCAAAAAGCTTTTAATGTACCAAGAAACAGAACTCGAAATATATCAAATAAACAGCAGTCCAACCTTATGGTGTTAGGTGGTTATGGTGTTAGCCATACAACCTACCGTAGATTTGACAATAATCACAAAGGAAAAACAAAAAAGGAGTGTTTTCATCATTTGAATAGAGTAAATTATACATAAGAAATGTATATACAGATGCTTTGAATCAATCAATAAAAGGCAATTATTTAAGCGTTACAACGGATTGAAGAGGCCATTGAGAACATTGTTGGTTCATATTCAAGTCAGTTTGAGATACCAAGCAGATCAGAGATGTTGATGTAGTTGAAACCGTCATAAAACAGGATTTCAAATGATGGTATTGGGAGTGTGCTATCTCCATGGATACCAGCACATATTGAAATCAAAGGAAATGAATTAGCAGATACTTTTGAAAAAGTAGCCACCGCAATTTATGGAGTGCAGTAAAAAAAGTTAGAAAAACAACTTATCTGGATCTCAACTAAGTAAACAACCACTCATTTATTATTTAGCCTAGAGATGTGGATTTTCACACATGAAAAGGCTGGGAGGTAACATTTGATAGAGAAATCTAATCTTTTGGTAACTTTGCTTTAAACATTTTGCTAACAGAGCAAAGCTGTTTTATTCCATCAATGACACAGCATCACACAGTTTCTGTTTGGTGGAGCGTCCTCAAGCAGCTTTACTGATGGTAAGCCACCAAGGGAACATTAATAAGCAATTTTCTGGTATTAGGAACCCGTAACCCAAAGGCCAACATGATACCAACTGTTCATTCTGTGTTGCATTTCCTCAGGGGCAGAATAATTGGCTACTGACCCTTTCATTGGATGAATTAAAATTACAATGAGTTGGAAATGATATCATAGAAACAAGCTAACAAATAATAACAAATCAAAATAACACTTCAGATTCAGTTTCAAAACCACAGCGCATGGTAAAAGTAAACTAAAGTAAAATTATATCCCAAGTGCCTCTCTTTGCAATTACTTTTTCAGTGTTATGTATTATGTTAAAATGTTGTTCAAACTATCTTTACAAAGATTGCAGACGCCCCATCTCCTTTGCAACCCTTTCTTTAGAATGGACCTTGGAGATCCTTTGCCAACCAAAGTTTCAAATAATCCATCTGTTATTTCAATTTTCATACAAAAAAAGTTACTTTTTGTATTTCAACTTGGTGCCAAAAGGTGGATGAAGACAATGATATAAGTGGCAGTTCACTAAAGTGTGTTATGGTATTCATAGCTGGAAATGCTGAATCATTGCCCGCTCATGCTGAGGTACCGAAATCTTTTTGTTGTCTTGAAAATGTCCCATACCACTCTTATGTCTGCTTCCCTTGGATCGAATGAATATACTTCATATGTCAACATTTCAACATTGTTATCGGAGCACTTATGCTTAAGACCTTACCATTTCTTTGGTTAAAACACGGCATTTACTCTTTCAACCAGACCTCCAACAATGACCTTGCCAAAGATGACAGGTGATGTTATACTGATGTGTCAGTCATGTTCCATGTACCAGTCTGCCTTATCAAGTATTCATATTTCAAGCATTCAATCGCATACAATTTACATAACTAGTGTGACTAACCTTTCATAAAGATCTAATATAAAGCCCACCAGTAATTCAAATTAGTTGCATATACTAATTCAAGCAAAGATAGTTCGTAGTGTAAGTTGCCATTTCTTTGTTCTAAAATCGGCACACATTATTGTCCTGCAAAGAGATGTTGATTGCTGTAGTCTTGCTTTACCTGTCTGTTTGACAGTTTCAGTATCATCTGACTTCACTTGATCCTTGTTCATGTAACTGTACTTTGTCTTTGATGACATGTTTACTGCATTCTGCTTTGAACAAGGTGAAAGAACTTCACATAGTTAATCTGTCATCTTTGTGGTGGTTTTGAAACTTGCGGATGGCACCTTTCACATTCCCCGCAGTTATTTGTCTTCACAGATCACTGCTCGTGTGTCAGACTCTCCTTGTTTCGATACACCCACACAGTATTATCAGTACTGCTGGAGACATTGATCAAACCACAATTTAAACAGTGTCTGTGTGTGTTAGGGGGTGGGCAACTTTAATTGCAGGGCCAGACTAGTTGACACTGTGACAATAATATATTTTAAGGCGACCCGACATGATAGATGAGTCAGATCCCTGTAGGATATTACCACTTTTCTTCAGTGCCTCCATTCATCCATCTCTTTCCGTCTCAACATGGTGCTCCAATCCTCTAAATACTGAAAGGTTGGCACCCTTTTAAAGTTTGCTTAATTTTAACACCTGTCATTTTTGTTGTTCTTTTTTTTTATGGCTGCTGACAGTAGTTTGCATTGGAGCTGGTTTTGTGACAGGGACACATTCATCATGTAATAAAGTGATGCAAGCTGTTACATGCCACAATGAAACTCAGCGACTCAGTCCTGTACAGCAGTGAAGAGGAAGTGTTGCTATTTCAGCATCGTTTCTATGGCTTCAATGCCAATAATGTTTTTTTAGAGGCACATATGATTAACTCTTGCTGGTACAACTGTGGTTTTTTTATGTGTTTTTATGTGTCTGTGTGTGAGAGAGAAAGATAGAGGACAGTTCTACTGTAGTTTGTTGCTATTGTGAGGAGGATTTGTTTTTTTAATGATATTTTATTTCTACAGAACAGCAAGTCTTAAAATGATTTAAAGATATTGGTTAATTCTTCGTGCTGTGTTTATGTGCATGCGTCTACATAAGCTTTTCTACATATGGACACCTTGTAGCAGCATTACAAGTTCACATTTAATAATGTCTGCAGGGCTTAATTCACCCAACCTATGAAGGTAAAACAAATTAGATACAGAAACAGTTATTCCCCAATTATATTTCAGAAACCTGCAATTTGAATGTGTTCCCTGCTGGCATTTCATCTCATCACGGCATGTGTGCAAAATTAAGACGAGCAAGGGCTCAGATTTAGAACACATTTATTCCATTTGAACATGTAACAAGCATGTTAACTATTGATAACATTTATCTGCATGTTCTTTTACGGTCTTTTACTGCCACCTATTGTTAAGGAACAGGACAACTGTCACTTACATAAGGTATCTTGAACTTAAAAACTAAAAAGGAGTTAGTACATGTTTAAAACAAACAAAACATTATTAAAACAAATGATTCAAACTATCGACAATGCATTGCTTTCTTAATTGTTACAGATCCTTTGTATGTACTTTCTAAAGCAAAGCAATTTTTAAATACAATATCACAACACATTATGTCTAAAACAGGAATTGTTCAAACTTCCATGAACAAAAGTTAGAAAATGAATATTTGTTGGTGTACAGTAAAACAAACGATTAACATAATATTGGTAGAACAAATGAAGTATGGGTTTTCAAAGTAAATGTCATTCAAAAAGGTTATGGTGCTTACAGTCATGTTTGAAGGAATCCCTCCCATGCAGTCCAGCATGAATAAAGGGGTCATGACAGTCAAATCATGACCTTTTTCAACCATCAAAACATCTGCACTGTTTAGGCAAGGACAGACTTCTCTAAGATGGCTCTCAGAAGTCAACTTGATCAAAGTTGAGAAGGTTGTTTGCTTCAGACCAAGCAGGGTGCTGTGCCCCATCCATCTCTGAGGCGACTTGGTTGCCACCTGCCAGTGCGTGATTTTCCCCACCAATAGTGGCTGCACAATCCGCGCAGCGTCGACTCTCCACAGCCCCTCCACACTCAGTTATGACATAGACATGGCCATTAGGACATTTGTACCAGTGTCCAGGCGCTATTTTCATAGCAGAGACGATCATCTTTCTCTCTTCCTCACTGATCCCCAAGCCTGAGGGAGGAAGTTTGCTGTCTAGCTCCTCCATGGCTTCTTTCACTCTGTCTTGATCTTGCTCAGTGAATGGACCAATCCTTTCCAAAACCTCTCTTATTGTTTGTATCTCGGAATTTATTTTGTCAGTTAGTTTTCTTATGTCTGCCTTGTGGCAACGGGCGTTGAGTTCAGTCAGGAAGGTGAGCCTCTGTAGCTCTCTCTGCAAATCAAAGACCTGCTGGTCTGAGAATTTTTGGCGCCAGTTATTGAGCCAGCGCACAAACTCCACAAAATACTCTCCTAATGTCTCGCTGTTCAATTCCGACATATTTCCCTTTTGGATCTTCTTCAGCTTTGCAATTCTGATTAGGAAATCCATCTTGTTTTCCAGCACCCACAGATCCTTTGCTGTGAGATAAGGTTGTACCAGTTTAACAGCCATGTATTCCACATGGTCATGCATTTCATATTGAAGAAGGTTGCCTTCCCACTGATTTTGAAGGGCCTGTCTGTGCTCTTTAATGTCCACCCGACGTCCGTTTATCTTTACTTTGACCATCTCTATTTCAGCGAGACAGCGGTTGATGTGAGATCCATAGCGTAGATTCTTGCGAATCGATGTTCGACACCTGGGACATTCCTTCAGTTTTATGGCCACCTGCTCAGCTTCATTTGCCTGCTGTTTGTCATCCATCTCCATGTACTGGTCCATGGCTGTGTATTCAACAATGTGTCCACAGTCTTCTAGCTGAATGAAGTAAGCGTCAGGCTCATCCTCAGTGCCGAAGAAAATCTCTGTGACCACATCGTGATGACAGATGCGACATTTGCTTGGACATTTGTCTCCACACAGACCTATGCAAGGGTGGCCGCAATCCAGGGTGCTGGCACAGGGTTGGTTGCATGGCAGACGGTCGCATGGCTCATGGCAAAGCTTACTGCAGCTTAGGTGAGGGCACTGCCAGGCACAGGGCTCAATGCACGGAGCACAGGGCTGTCCACATGGCTTCATACACTTGCTGTGCACGCAGCAATTCTCACATGGTTTCAGACAGGGGGGGCAATCACTTGTGCAGGGCTCCATGCACTTGTGAGAGCAAATCAGGAGCCGATCACACTTTTGAGAACATGAGTAATGGAACCGTCCCTGATTACACTTGCCACAGTTACCCTTACAGGCATGGCCGCATTTTAGCTGCTCCACACAAGGGGTCCTACATTGAGGCTTGTCTTTGCTGTCATTGTAAAAGCATTCACCTTGCTGGCTGTGGCCGCACTTCAGTGTTAAGGTGACCTCCTGTTTGCAATAACTTGTGCATGGTTCTCCACAGAACGAAACACATGGATGTTCACAGTCGAGCAGCTTTTTGCAAGGCTCCTGGCATACAAATGTCTCCGGGTCCTGGTGGCAAGGAACCATCTGTGTGTGTTGACACCGGGGTATGATCTTCTCCACCTTCACTATACATTTCTCTGGGCATTCTTTATAGCAGTCAAGTGGGCACCTGTGTCCCAGATCACACATAGTTTTCTGGCACTTCTTATGACACTCGTACTTCTTGTGCTCCGGGTCGTATGGATGGCAAACCCTTGTGCAAACATGGCCACAAACCAAACGGAACTCGCAAGGCTTTTTGCAGCCTCCCTCAGGGGCTTGTTTGAAATCATCAGCACAAGACGCTTTGACCTGTCGATCTGGATGATTCTGACAGTACAGGGTCAAAGCATCCCCAATCTGGTCGCTCTGCCTCAATGTGTGGAAGATGTTGCTCCAGAGTTGGACTTTGCCCAGCATTTCACTGTTGCCAATACAGTAGAGCCCTTTCTTGGCACGAGACAGGGCTACACAGACGCGATTGGGAATGTTCAAAAAGCCAACCTTGCCCTGCAGGTTGCTGCGAACCAGAGACAACAAGACAATGTCATTCTCTTCTCCTTGGTACTTGTCAACGACGTGCACTTTGACCCCTGTGAACTCTTTGGCAGGCATGAGGTTGCGCAGGCAGTGCAGCTGTCCGGTGTAAGTTGTGAGGATAGTAATCTTTTCTGGTTCGTAGTCCTGAAGAATAAGATAGCGGCAAAGAGCGACTACGAAATTAGCCTCATGTTGGTTCTGATGGCTTTTCCCATCTTGGATCTCCTGTTCTCTGTAGTTGTGCTCCACAAAGAACAGATTGGTACTCAGGCCCTGTAAGACAGAATTTATGAAAAATAGTCTGTGTTACTCTTTATGTATCATATTATTTATCATATTTTTTTTCATCTTGTATACAGAAAATATTCTGTCCTAATCGTGCAAGGACTTATAAAGAAAATATATTTATGAGTCAAAGAGACTGGCAGATACTTTTTTCTCATTGCTAGCAGGTAAACAGATGCAAAGACAAACAAGCAGAATGGAGACTCAGCAGGAGATCAAATAAAATACGCACCTTGATGTTTTCGTAGTCAAACACAGAGGGATGGTTTTCCAGCTCTTCGTAGATATGTGGGGTCAGAAGACGGGCAATTTCTGGCCTCATACGGTGCTGGAGAACAAACCAAAACATAAACACAGATAAACACAGGCAATCACATTTAGATATGGAAGAATACATCCAGGTACAAACATAATAATTCAAGTGTAATGCTTGCATCTTGTTTTTAACCGACTTGTCTAAACATGTCTATATTGTATTACTGAATGGATCCTGTAATGTAATAAAACATTAATAAACAGAGAAACACAGACCTGATAGTCAAGTCTGACATAAGGAAGTCCCATTTTCACCAGCCTTTCAAACATGGACATCTCCAGGTTGTGGTTCCTTGCAAGTTCGTATACTGTGGCACTGGGGCGCAGCTAAGGAACAAAAAAAACAAAAAAATCATATGCTTGAAACACTTCAGTTTACATTACTTATTTTTATAGAAAAGTTGAAAATAATGGCTTGTTTTTTATTTTCTGTGCAAGCTGAGAAACTGTGGTCGATTGTTGCATAACGGAGAGATTTGTTCGGCTAGATATACGCTTTTATTATCAATATAGCATTTTAATGCAAGATTTGTCATCGCTCTAAACCTTTTCCAGCTTTTGGCTTTTTCCATCCAGCGGTGATTAAGTTCATTTGGCAGGTTTAATGCCCTATATTAGCATATTTAAAGAGCTCTAGATCATAAACACGCAAGTGAAGAATAGAGGGATGACTTTCATGGCTACATGCCTAATGTGATAAGACCATTTTGCAGTTATGTAAATCCTAAAGAATACTTAATACAACGTTCCTAGACCCAGGTGAAATCAACCATCTATATAAAAGTAAGGCTAGAAGCGATAAACATGGCCTGCTTTCGGTTTTTTATTGTTTCTGGATAGGAATATAGAATGTATGTGAGTACGTTTTTTGCGCATTTGTGTGTGTATAGTTGTTGTGTGTGTGTTGGTGTCTATGTGTAAACCTAACTTGGCTTGAGGACAGAGTGTGATTGTGCATGTATGTGGGAGGGGTGTGGGGGAGGAAAGACAAATTCCAGTATAAATGTGAAGCATTGTGTTCTGCTTGATTCAACACCAAACCTGTGATTAATGAACAGTGTAACAATGCCAAAGCCTATTTTAGTCAGAAAGTGTGATCCATTTACCTTCATTACATGCAGATTCAAGTTTGGCTTCCATAAAAACAAAGCTTTACACTTGTTTTCGAAAAACAAAATAAAAATACAATCAAATGGCTTTAAACCCATAACACAAGCTAGCAATAGTTGTGCTATTAAATATCAAGTTGTGTCATCAGAATATCAACTTTTTTAATTTGTTTTTCTTTATTAATAATAATAATAATAATAATAATAATAATAATAATAATAATAATAATAATAATAATAATATTTTGTTAAAAATGCTTCAAAGAGAACAATCAAATAAAAACCCATAATTAATGATAAAATAAATGTAGGACCAAATAAAAGAATTGACTACTTCTCAGGTATTCAATGTTACCTCCTGATTAAATCAAAGTATATAATATCTCATCTTGTTGTTCGCCACCACCTGCACTAATTGAATAGCACAGTGGTTTAAAGTGAAACATCTGATATACTTTATTATTCATTTATTCATTTCTGCATATTAAATTGCACCCACTTGTATAAGACAGTGAAAGGAGCCTTGGGCATAATGTTAAATTACTTTTATATTAATCTGATGTACCTGTTATATATATAGAAAAAAGAAAAAAGAGACATCAAAAGCAATTTTCAAGTTCATCTCTATTTAGAATTCCATTCATATACTTTCAGTGGAATTGTAATGAAGACAGGTTTGCTTGTATATTCAAACGCAGGCATCCATTCATGAATAAACAACACAACAAGCAAATATTAGGAAAAGAGCCGACAGAAGTTATGCAGCAAGAAGAGAGCAGAACAGAATATTGAGTCACAGTAGTTGTGATCGCATTGTGCAGATTGCGAGACAGGCTGCCTGGCCGTATGTCCTTGGCAAGCCCTGACAAGTTGTTATAATAGTCTACTGATGTCCAGCATATCAATCATCAATCTTCTCTTCTCAATCTTTTTTTAATGGCCGTTTCTTTGCCATTTCCCTCAGGGCAACATGCACAAACATACGGACAACCACACAAATACACAAAATCCCTCATGACAGGTTGTCCTTTAAATGTTCAACAAGTCACGCAAATGGGGTTATTTCAGTCAGAGGACGATGGCTTACTAAAAAACAAACTGTTATGCAGTCTAAAGAGATGACACCACTAAGAGTTGAGGGGTCGTACCTGCTGGTGGTCACCGATGAGGATGAGGTGTTGGCATGCTTCGCTCAGGGTGGTGATGGTGTGGGCCTCCAACACCTCTGCAGCCTCCTCTACGATCACCAGTCGGGGACGCACTTTCTGCAGAACTTTGCGGAACTTGGCTGCTCCTGTTGTTGTCATGCCAATGACCTGATGGAAGTTACATGGCTAACTTTAGAATTTTTTTTGTTTTTATTATATTACAACTGGTTTCAATGCTGCCTGCCCTTGCAAACTAGTATTGCTTATTTTACTGCCAGGGCCATTATTGGTGTTCTTTGGGTGGGCCTTTGCCATAGACTACATTTTTTCTTACATGTTCATGTTTCTGAGCCCCTAAATTTGACACAACATGTATTTTTCAAAAGCTCAGTCCACAATAGATGTATTTCACAGGCCATTTGATAAATGTAAAATCCTTGTATTCACTTTCTTGCTGAGAGTTAAATGAGATTCTACAGACTCTCATGTCTGTACAATTATGTAGGGCTAGATCCAGCTGGAAATGGGAAGAAAAGCTAGCCTGGCTCGTAACAAAATCTGACTGTTTTACACATTATATTGTGTTTGTTTAATCGGCATCAAATGTAAAAGTGGCAGCTTGCAGTTTTATGGGGATTCTGTGCCGAACTTTCTCTTGGCTGGGCGCATTAAAGCCTGCCATTCTGTACTTAGTATCATCTTTCACAGTGATCACAGTTGCTTTGTAAAGATTTGTTCCCTGCTAGTTTGCTTGTCAGTAAATTGTATCCCCAGTTCTTTTCATTATATAGAGTAATTGGCAGTGCACAGTGTGAAATTGTGTGGAGGTTTTGCCTTAACAAGGATCTACAGGTGGGACAATATATATGCATGCTGTTCAATACTGCAACTCCACTGTACCGTGGCTCCCTTGAGGAGATGGACGTTCTCTTCACGTTTTATATCAGCCAATCTGTCCACTGCGTTCTGATAGGCCTGTTCAGACCGAAGTGCTCTGGTGGAAAGTGCTACCCTGTAGCGAGCCATCCACAACCTGCAGACATAGGGAAAAGTAATCATAATTTAAACAATGTCACAAACAACTCAATTATACAACCGTAAAACTCTCAATGGGTCAGAAACTATGATGCTTTTGTACTTGATAATACTGTAACTGTAGTTTAACAATTATGGCTAGACATATTATATGTGTCCTAGAAGCAACTTGCCATATTGTTAGTTAAAACAGTCTTTACACATGTTTAAACAAGTGTCCTTACAGTCCTGCTACATGGTTATGTCTTGGCTCTCTGAGGTGAGAGAAACCTCTTAGAGACACGTTCCTTGTAGTTAGTTGACTTAATTATACACACTGGGAATAGACTGCAGGACTTCTACCAGGCTGAGGTTGCTTTGGGTAGGAGGAGGAACAATGAAGGTGGGAAGGAGGACAGAAATGTAAGAAAAGTACTAGGGGAGGAGATGGAACGAAGAGTTGAAAAAGTGGCACCTTGTTAGTGAAACAGCAGCAGACCTACCGATAGAGTCTCCATCTGTCTGGCCGGCTAAGGGTCCAAATATCCAAGACAGCTTTTTCCTCTTCTGCAGTCATGGCCGAGCTATTCCTCAGCTCTCTCATGATTTTGTGCTTCAGCTTTTTCTTCTGGGCCCGTTGCATCTGTACAGATCAGAACCTTTAAACTTCAGACCCTGAGTTTGAGAACTGTTTTAAAGGCAAGCTAATCTGGTAACATTTTTGTTGATCTTTATTTACATTAGAATGTTGACTTCCCTTGGTTTGTTTTGAATCAAAATAAACACTGATGTGATGCTCATACTACAATAATTGGCTGAGAGAGTTAATAGTACAGCTCTTCATGAAAAGAAAAAACAGTAGTGGTTTTAAGAAAAAGGAGGAAAAGACAAACTGTTCTGTTTACATCAATGGAGCTGTTGTAGAGCAAGTGAACAGTTTAAAGTTCCTGGGAAACAGCAACACATATAACCTGACATCACATGTCTCAATCTTGGTGAAAAAGCTTTAAATGGCTGCATATCTCTTAGAAACTGAAGCAGGCAAACTTCCCCAGCCAAGTACTTTCTAACTTTTACAGACGAGCAATAGAAAGTCTCCTTGATGGAAAAATTACAAACTGGCATGGGATTGGCAAGATGTGCCTACAAAGAGCCCAAAAAATATCAAAGGACAAAACCCACGCCAGCCACAGCCTGTCCTCCTTACTTCCGTCTGGCAGGAGATACAGAAGTATCGGCTGTCGTACCAACAGACTGCAGAGTAGCTTTTTCCTCAGGCTGTGAGACTCCTGAACCCTTCATCCAAACTCCACCACAAAAAACTTTTTTCTGGCTTTCTGGCTTATATATAATTTTTTTTATGTAGTATGAGTTATAATTGGTAGGTATGCAATATGGGACTATAAACATATACTTTGGTTTAAAAGGAATACATGTATTCCATGATAAAAACACGGAATACATGTATTCCTTTTAAACCAGTCTACTATTGCTATCTATAATAACAATAGCGTCAATCACTCTTTTTGATTGAATAGGGATTGATATGTTAAACTCAATACAATGTCAAAAATCTTAATTTTACCTCCCATCCTGCCTCGCTCTGCTCAGCCTGTATTTCAGTTTCCTCCAGGTTCATAGCCAGCATCAGATCCTCTAATGCTCTTAAAGTCTCTGCCATTTCGTCTTTCTTTTTGCCATCTCTTCCACCTCTGGGACCAATGTTGTCTTCAACAATCCGCTCCGCCTGGATCAGATCTGCTTCCTCTGGTATATAAAGTAAATCGTCTCCGTCATCCAGCTCCATCTCTTCATCTGCTGCTACATGCAACACATTTCAGGAATAATCATTATCAAAATCCTTTAATTCACCAATACAATACATTTTCACAGTTGTAGTTTTCTTTGGCAACGTTACAAGAAAGGCAAAGTTCCTAGAATACAGAACAATAGTATGGTACGAGAGTATAACTGTGGCCACTTTCTGGTAAAAACTGCCTTTTTTTTATCCTGAAAACATCAGAAAATTGATTCAGTATCCTCAATAACCCTCAAAACCACTCCAAAGATGTCCAAATCGGCAAAGCCTTTTTTAAACTATTGTCCACATAGGCTTTAATGCTAATAATGCTAATTAAGGCTACATAGGCTAATTGTGCAAATGATATGTCTGAATATATGCAAGTAAGCATCCGGCAGTTTCTATGTGGTCGTACTATACATTTCTATCATAAAACTTTAGTGTACTCAACATTTTCGGGTTCACTATGCTGGCAAATAAACTACTATTATACTATACTATTTAGGGTTTAGAATTGTATACATTTGTTTAGCTCTTCACTGTTTCAGCACATTTAGAGACTTCTGAAATGTTTACAAATGGCCATGTATTGATATAATGACAGTATCCCAAAACAGTTATGTTAAGACTTCTAAACACAGCAAGGAATTCAAATGAAAAAAGATCTGTCTTACTAAGGTTATATTTCCATTTCAGCACACATGTGTCACAACAATTGTGGTTATAGTGTAAGTGACTACAGTTCCAAACTTATTGTGGAGGGAATCCTGCGTTATTAAATCGATACATTCACACTAACATTTTGAAGTGCAAGTGAGAAGAAGCCAATTATTCGATACTCTTACACCGTTTCAGAGAAGCACCGAGACCATTAAAGGACTTACCTTCATTTCCATTTGCATTCTCTGTCTCCCTCTGCAGGAAGACAGTGGAACCCAACCCCAACCACTCCATCATCTGACTGGGCTTCTTCTTCTCACCCCAGATCAAGAAACCATCCTGTGTCTAAAAACAATTCAGAAACAGGAACTGATGAGTTTGCACTCTTTTCATCTGTTTGTCTTGCTCACAGATGTGTACACATTTGTATTTCCTCACAGGTTGCTCGCGCAGACTGTCCCAGTGAATGTCTGAAATGAACTCCTGTAGGAAGTCTTCACGTAGGACGCCTTTCAGGGAACACTCCAGCTTCATACTCTCACTCTGGATATCCCTCTCCTGCTGACACAGCTCCTTGTAAACCTGTTGAACATTTGTCAATCAAGTAAAAGTGTCCAAATCATGAACAACATGAAGAGATAAGTATAGCGGTTAGTTTTAAATGAGTGAAAAAAACTTGATGAATGTAATATATTATGAATTATTTAAATCTATTGTATTATTTGATGTATGCTCAACACATTGCTTTAGGCAGGATATAAGTTAAGTGTGGAGCTTCTTGAAACATAAAGCTAAGTTCACACTGTAGGCCAGGCAGCATGAGGAACTTACCTCATTAAATGCAAAACGCAGGTGAGACGGAAGCGAATGTCTGAAGTCAGGTGAGCGGGTCAGCTCCCTTAGATTGAATTGCTTCAGGATCTCACTGTTGCTGCGGCCTCCCACTCTCACTATCCCCTTTGGCAGAAATGTATGAATGCCTAATACACAGAGGCAAAAACAAAAAGCTTATTTGTCTAACATTGCCTTTGTGGGGACACAGTTTGCATCACAAATAATCAAATAAACCTTATCACATGTCTTTGGGATATAAGAGGCAGAGCTTTTAAATCCCAAACCATTAAGAAAACATCAAATGGATCTGACATTATTGGCATCACAGCCTACCTTCGAGGAACTGATCCAGGGCATGGTTAGTGTAACACACCACCAGCATCGGAGTCCTGTCCAATCCATCACTCCACAGTTTCCTATTGGCCAACAGAGCTCGAGCAATCTTGAGTCCAACATGGGTTTTTCCTGAAAATAAGGAAGATGATTGATGAACAGATGTTGTCATTTTTCAAATGTGTGAAATGATGTTATGTTATTTGTTTTCCAAGTCATCCTTTTGACATGGCTTAACAGTGTCTCACCAGTGCCAGGAGGTCCCTGTATGATGGTGAGCTCCTTTGTGAGGGCCAGCTGGAAGGCTTTCATCTGAGAGTCATCCAGCCCCAGCTTCGTCATTTGAGGCCAGGCCTGTGGATTCAGGCTGACAAATGGCTTTAGACTCCTCTTGTGTTGAGGCAGAGCAACGTCCGACAGGTCATAAACATCTTCTAATTGCAGGTAAGCTGGGCGGAACACATCTTTGTTACACTCCACGATGTACCTAGATGGATTATGGAAAGGAATACATTGATTATAAAAAGGTTGAAGAAGTACTCAGATTCTTTACACAAATACAAATTGTATGTCCAGTGCAGAGAAATACTCGTACTTAATTACTCAAGTGAAAAAATATGTTCTCGAATAAGACTACACTTTTAGTACAAAAGGTACACATGCAGAATTGTGTACAATAATTTTTTATATTAATAAATCATAATCATTACTGCATTTAAAATGTATGTGGCAGTTTTTATATATATTCACTGCTTGTTAACTTGTGAATTTCACCAAATAAAGTCTTATCTGTATCCACATTTCATTTTATTAATACGTTTATTTGTATTGATCTTTATTATTTAAAGGTGACTACTAAAAGGTAATAACAAAGTGTAGATTACTTATTCGTACAATATTTTCCTCTGAAATGTCGTGGAGTACAAGAAAAAACATGGAAATACTCTTGGAAACTGGAAAGACAACTATGTACTATTTGCGTAAAAGAAGGATGTAAAGGTGTTTAAATAGGAGTCAATTATCACCGTAAAGTCCACTGCAATAAACCTGAGCTTAATGAGTTTTTAATCTTACAAGTGAGCAACTGTAACTTCTGCTGAACAGAGATAACAAATAGAGAAGACTCATAGCAGTTGGACTGACTCAATAATGTCCATACTGATTAAATGTGTCTAAAGCTGGCTAATATTAGTTAGCCCTCATCAGCTACCCATCATACCAGTGAGTGAGTCATGCTTTAGTAGTAAAACCCCTGAGAGTACTGAATAAAGTAAGGGTGCACTTGGTAATGAAATAAAAAAGCTCATGTGTTTAGTCATGATATGTAAAGGCAAACAGTGGGGGAGCTGGGGAGTTGATCTCAGAATTCCCACAGCTGAAGAGGGGATGTTTTAGGATTTACTAGCAAAAGCCCACTAGGATGCCCTTTTGGCACCACAACATTGAGACAAATTCTTACATTTAGTAACAAAAAAAGACGACTAAAGAAGCGAAACTGTTTTTGAAGTACAGTAATGACTATTCTTTGTTACTGATACCGCCCACTGTGCACTTCTGAAGGAAAAACTGTTTTAAGTTGTTTCAGGTATTCAGGTCTAGGAGACAGATGAGCAACAAAGTGTCTCACATAATAAATGACTTTGTTGTATCTATGAAGGGCACTGGGAGATAATAACCCAACTTCTGAACTCATCCATGCGTGATAGCCGTTTGTGAATACTGTGGCGATATAATGAACTCATGCTAATTAAAAGCGTGATAGCAGAACTTGCTTTGTACCGTTTCTCCCCCCGCTACTCTTTGAAAAATCTCCATTTGAACTTGTTATGAAAGTGCTGTGGGATAGTATAAAAACGGTGACCTTGACAGTAATATGTGGAACTCCTCCAAACACACACCTCTGAAAGGGCAGCTTGTCCTCATTCTGCTCCTGTAGGCCCTCTAGAACATATCGATAGGCCTCAAAGTAGGCAGTGGTCTCAATCATCAGGAACAACTGATCTTTCTGTGAAATAAAATGTATGTTTCATATAAAATGACATACATTGATACATTGTCCTCCCTGCCCCCATCGTGCATGTTAGGAACAAAACAGTCTTGGTTAGGTGTTCATTTTCGGGTCTTGTTTTTTTATATTTTGTCCATTCCATGTATGAGTGAAGTGACTTAATATCAGAAACACCTCTCAGATAGTAAACTGTACATTTTTTTAAATAGTTTGTGTAGATTAAGTGGCTGGAACAAGACTCTAACATCACATATCTTTAACTGCATGCATTTTGCTCCCTTATCAACAACAGTTGCATGCAATGTACCGACTCACCTCCATTTCCGCCAACTTGAACCTGCTCTCTGCAGTAAAGGCAATCTGGACCTGCCCCTTTGCCAGTTCTTTGGGATCCCGATCTGACACGGTGGCTAACAAGAAGCTCTCAAAATCATCACACGACAGGCAGACCAGGGAGCCAAAGATCAGCCTCTTTGAGTTCTCCCAGCGCACAAACTGTAGGATAGATTTTAAAATGCATGCGTTATGTCTTTCCATTTGACATTCAATTAGTAAAATACATTGTATCTGATTTTATAAGTCAAATATCATACTTAATGTTATAAATATCTGAATCCCTCCAGAAACTAACCTTAAGTGGCTGAATGTCAAACTGGACAATGTAGGCAATGCCATTATTTGTGCATTTGGGCACCACCAGTTTTGTGTCGAAATATATTCTGATGTCATCAAAGCGTTTTGTCTTCAGTGGTTTATCACCCTTCTCCATTTTGCTCCGAAGCAAGTGCTGGACCCCCTCACGAAGTGGCCTCACAAAGTCCTCTCTCAGCAGGCGGAAATGTGTGTCGAGGTAGAGGTGAGTGCTTGCGTAGCGCTGAGAGGTGAGGTTGGGTCTGAGGAAGGGCCTTTCTTCCTGATGGAACTCCTCAGGAGTTGGGTAGATGGATATGGTCCTGAAGTCTTGCTGGTCTTCTTCACCTGGGTTAGAAATAGTTTAAGTTCAGTTCAGTTCAACTGTCTGGCAACTTTCATAACATCCCAAAATATGTTCTGCAGTGTTGGCTTGAGAGCTGTGCATCTACATTTTGATATACGTTATATATGTTAGACAAAAAGCTGAACAAACGTTAATGTTAACTCAGCTGGCAGACCCAAAGAACAGTGATGGAGAAACACTGACTTATGTGAAAAGTGAAACCTTCAAATGGTAAGAAACCTTTATTGAGTTTTTTTTATTGGTTTTATTCACACGGTTGTTATGTTTTGGAGAAGATGAGACCTCTGTGGATAATTTGGATACCGATAAAAACAATAAACACTGAAGGAATCTTAACTACTGTAGGAGAAGCCGACTGCTATGAAGGCAATGGTGGTGAAGGCAACAACTCCAATGATCCCCTGCTACTTCACAATATCACCATCTTCATTGATTGTTATAGTTTTGATTGAGAAACCCCTAGTGGGAGAACATTTCACATTGTGCATCTAAATAACAGCAATTCAGTAAATATATCTACAAGAGGCCATTACAGGGTTCTCACCTGCAGTGGGTAGGAGGGCGTAATGGTCCCTGTCTGAGCGCAGGGTCCCATCCCTCGATTTCTCTTGTAAGTGCTTGATGAGGCCCTGAATACTTTCCACTCTCTCCTCAATTTCAGGCTGGATATCTACTCCTGATGTCCTCAGGCTGCAGACGGATGCTGGGATAAGCGTCAGTAGCAAAGTCACAGAATTTACCGAGCTAGCAGGAAAGGTGTTGATGACCTACAGGAATGGGAAAATATTGAGCATAGTTAGTTTATTCAACTACAGGGAGTTCAACCAAAAATATAGAAATTGTTAACAGAAAAAAGTGCAATCAGGCTAAAATAATAAGGTGATAACAATCAGACAAATGTTGTTGTGAAAGTTTAAACAATGGTCGGAGTTCTGTTTGTATCCTTCATCAGAGGCAGCTCTTCTGTGTCTACCTCAGTATTTTCAGTGGTTGAAGAAGTATTCAGATCCTTTATAAAAGTAAAATTACGTATACCATACTGTAAAAATACACCCCGACGAATAAAAGTCCAGCATTAAAAATGTTACCCAAATCACAGTACGTATAATCAGCTAATTGTAATATTACATGTAAAAGTATATTAAAAATAATACATTTAAAAATTAAAGTTATTCAAAATACATTAAAAAAAGGACCAATGAACTTTCTGTCAATCAGCTTGTTGATTCATCAATTTGAGCTGTTTTTGTATAAATTGATGGCTAGTTGAATTTCAACAAATCATCATATTGTGTTTTTTAATGCAAAACCCTTAAATTAAAGTAACTAGAATGTAGAGGTTGATGGTAAACATCGGGAGGTCAAAGTACATACTTCCCTTTGTATTTTAGTGGAATATATTAAAATGGCATACAAGAACCCGCACCCTACAATCCTTGAGTAAATGTACTAAGCTTGAGCCAACCAATGATTATTTAAAGGGACCTATCATGCAAAATGCACTTTTGTACAGTCTTTTTATACATGAATATGTGTCCCCGGTGTGTCAGGGAACTCACCAAGTGTCAGAAAACACAACCCTCTCTCTTTTCCTCCATACCAAAATCTCTAAAAACGGGGCTGCAACGGAGCTGATACAGATTTGAATTTCTCTGAAGTCAGAAAAGGGGTGCTCCGCCTATATGGGCAACTCTCCACCTATCAGGGGGATGAGAGGTTGGGCCACAGCCACGGCCATTGCCCAACCTCTCATTCGCATATAGGCTGTCGGAAAGCTAAATCTCCCCCAGTCTCATCTGTGTTTTTGCCTGCTCTTGCCAGGATGTCTAAGGGAGTTAAACGTTGTGCTGTTGTTGGCTGCAAGAATCGGGACAAGGGACTGCATGCAATGCCATCCCTGGAAAAAGACAAGAATCTGTGGCTAGACTTCATTTTCAAGGGACATGTGCCAGAAGACTCCGGCAGATTTCTGCTTGTGTGTTCTAAACATTTTACCACGGAGATGTTTATGAACTAGATTTTTTTTCGCCGGTCAACATGTCCGTTAAAGTTTAAATCTTCCGGACAAAATTAGAAAAGTGCCGGTCAAAGGTCTTCTTTGTTATTTATTGAGCTTTAAAACAAATGAATAACGACTCTATATAATAATATAAGAATAATACACGGAGGACGTAGCCTCTCTTTTCCTCCCCCTCTTCTGAGAGCCCAGCAGCTGATCTCCCTTTCCTGCAGGGGGGCGTGGTCAGCTGCAGCTCATTTGCATTAAAGCTACAGAATCAGCCCTTGCAAAAACAGGGCTGGAAAAGAGCAAATGGAGCGAAATGAGGCATGGCTAAAATGCATGATCTGTTTGGTATTTTGAAAAAAAAACTTCACAGACATGTTTTATATAGGTATGGCCCTACAATATATTTTTCAAATATAGCATGATAGGTCCACTTTAAGTGCAAACTTACACTCACTGGGCATTTTTCATGTATTATTCATCTTTCAGCTGAAAATAATAACTTATTTTTTCTTTCATTCATTCCTTCCTCTATTTACCTCTGACAGAATAGCCAGGATGTTTTTCAGGTCCTGTGGGTATTGTGCCCTGCGGATGGGGTTGAACTCTGAGCTCATGCCCACCAGATAGCGTGGCAGGACGGTGGAGAAGAAATCGGACTCTTTGATGATGCCAGCCAGGTGCTGCAGAGTGCCTCTCTCCGCTCGGGATTCGAAGGCTTTACTCAGCACCAGGCAGAGGAGTCCAACAAGGTCATTTCTCATTGTTGTCCCACCCAGGAGTTCTCGCAGGACAGGTTTAGAAGACAGGGTGATCGCTACTACAGAGGGATCTTTTTCGGAGAGCTCTTCCAGTGTTTTATAGCTCAGTCCATGACCATGGTGTGCCCCAACTCTACCTGTGGATTTCGATCTCCCTCCATTATGTTCTTGTCTACCTCTCGCACCATCTCTTCTCTCACCCCTTCTACCATCCGCACTATGGTCTTCTCTCCTTACACCAACTTCTGACTCCCACCCTTGTCCTTTGTCTCCTCCTATCCCCCTCCCTCCTACTTTTGGTCTTGCACCCAAATCTTTTCTCTCCCCTCTCGATGCATGTGTTGCTCCTCTTCCTCTGCCTGCGTCTCCTCTGCCTGACTCTCCTCTTCCTCCGTCTCCTCTTCCTCTGCCTGACTCTCCTCTTCCTCTGCCTGCATCTCCTCTTCCTCTGCCTGCCTCTCCTCTTCTTCTGCCTGCGTCTCCTCTTCCTCTGCCTGAATCTGCTGCTCCTCTTCCTCTGCCTGAGTCTGCTGCTCTTCCTCTCCAGCGCATCCCTACACCTCCTCCTCCTCCTCCTTCATCCGTGTCCTCCCTTACAGGTTCACCACTACCATGGTTTAGTGATCTTCCCTGTCTTCTATTTCTGACTCTATGTGCACTTTCGTTTGGGCCAGTATCAGCATCTGGGGGAAGAAAAGTCACTCATATAATGAGACCTTAAAGATGAACACATAGATTGCTGAATTGCCTATGCTACTGTATATTTACCATTGTTTAGTAAGGTCGGTACTTCCATGGCCTTGCATACGATAGTAGCTGAAATATGTGGGCAACAATTTACAAGTCGTAAGAAATTAGAGAATTAAAGTAACAACACATTTTAGGATGATCACACATTTTAATAAAGGATGTGTAATTTATGTTAAATCATTTTTGAAAGAAGTATTCAGGTCTGGTAACATACTCTGTTACATTTGTTGTGCTTAAATTAAGGTACATACGTTAAGTATTAGCTTAAGCTATAACATTAATACTTTATTATTCGCAATTAGTTTATAATTTATTAATTTATGGATTATATTTTGTATCTATGATCCAAATCAGTAACCAGTAACTAAAAGTGTTCAATAAATGTAGTTTGATAAAAGGTAAAATACTTGCATCCAACATATGGTGAAGTCAAAATACATGTAAAACAGAAATTCCCAATAAAGTACAATGACATCAGCATTGTACTTTGTGTAATTGTGAACTTTGTGTATCATAGTCCAATAAAAACAGCTCCAATGTACATGTATAAAATGGCACTGAATGATGATTCACTCCTTAAAAATGCTTAGACTTCACCTTAAGCACTGTGTTCTATTACTGTTCACAATTAGTATCATTATGATTGACAAGGTCATGGGATTGCAACATGTTTATTTGAAAAGAATCCTTTATCATAATAATGTTGAGAGGGAAATGTGCTTGCTATTGCATCTATTGCATTGACCTAACTCAAAGAAAGAGAGTGCCCTCTGTTGGATACAGTAAGGACCTGCACAAAGGTGTGTAAGTTTCTATTTACCAGAAATCGGATGAGAGCTTGTAAAACATAACCTGTCATGGTTCTGATATCGAATTCAGTTTTAGGATTTCATTAAGATCCCCATTAGCTAATGCACAACACCAGCTACTCTTTCTACAGAAAAAACATGTCACTGGCAACAACTAAATAATATTAAAATACAAAATACAATACTTTCCAATAAACATACTACACATGTTCTTAATCATATCCACTTTTTAAACAAACACACATAGGCCTATACATACATACAAACACGTACATTCATACATACAATTCGTTGACACTAAATGTACATACAAAGTGAGATTTTACAAAAGTACATGGTGAGGAAATGCCTTTACAAGTTACAACAAGACAGTAAATGGGCAACGCCTTCAATTTGTTGGATCGAATTTGTTATACCTTCCTTTACATGTTTTATATGCTACGGAATGAGACATTTCTGATAATTTTGCTTCCTTTCACCCCTTGCAGAGAAAAAACTTACCTAGACTGAAATCCACTTGCCACAATGCCACTGAGCTTTATAAAGGAAGCAGGTCCATTTGCTAGCATCACTGCACCTAGCCTTCTCAGTCAGTCGTCGTTTATCAGCTGTGCCACTGCCTTCCGCTCACTGCTCTATTTATATGCGTTGTCACACTTGTGCTTTCGTTTCATCAGAATCAACACCGCATCATTTGCATCATGAAACTTAACTCTGCACAGTGCACACTATGTTAACACGGCAACATGCAATACTGTCCGCGCTATCTTTTGTAAATCAACATCAGTCGACAGTGCCACGTGGGGCAGGATATTTCCCAGAAACATTACGTGTTATCGAGTGTAGTTCAGGGCCTGATTGTTTCTGTCATGTTGACGGCCGATAGAGTATTGTGAGAGCATACTGTACAGGGCCGTCCCTGGCCAACTTGGGGCCCCAAGCGACATTGTGAGATGAGGCGCGCCCCCCCCCCCCCCACCGACTGGAGTGAAACACGTTTTTTGGATCACCATGAAATATGCAAATTGACATAACAATGAATAAAAGAAGAAACACATATCCGAGGAGCACTTGAATATATAGCATTAATGCCGGCTAAATCAAATTCATTCAGCTAGCAACATCAGAAGCTATCACATGTCTGGCTTTCAGTGGCGGCGCCAGCAGGGTTCGAGTTATAAACTGAGCTCTATGGGGGTCTTTGAAACTAACGCACACACACACACACACACACACACCACACACACACACACACACACACACACACACACCACACACACACACACACACACACACACACCACACACACACACACACACACACACACCACACACACACACACACACAATAAACATATGGACAGGGGTTACTATTTAAAAAAAATTGCAAATGTATTTGGGAACCTATCCATGTGAACATATTTTGGGAGTGGACCTCAAATCCTCTAGGGGGGTCCGGGGGCATGCCCCCCCTGGTAAGATATTTTTTTAATTTTGGAGTTAAATGCATCAATCTGGTGCATTTTGAGGGGAAAATAAAGAGACTAGATCTATGGAAACACCCATATGAAACAGATGCCACATCATAGACAGGACAGTCACCCTTGTGTGAGGCAAACCCACATTTGCGCAGCGTTTGCGTTCACAATAGCCTACATTAAGGCCATCGGGAAACCTCCCGGCCCTCCCGATGGCCAGTCTGGGCCTGCCAGCAGCCCTCTACTCGCTACAAACTTAAATATGAAAACATAGCCGTGGGAACATGTTTCAAATGGGGGGTGCTGTGGGGATGACACCAGGGCCGGTTCTGACCAATTTGCTGCCCTAGGCAAGATTTTTGCTGGTTCATTTATATCTTATTTTATCAGTTAACATTTATTTATTCATCCATATTTTTTAATCTCTCCAGTTTTAAAGGATATTGTTGGTTTACTGTCCTATAGTATACATGTGCCAAGAGCAAGGACTGTCTTAGGTAAGACAGCTTTTATGTGCGCAGCTCCACTTGCTTGGAACAATCTTCAGCAATAATTGAAACTGAGCAATCTCATTCCTCTGCATGTTTTTAAAGCTAGGCTAAATGAAATGCTCGTTGATACTATGGGTACTTGTAAATGTCTATAACTATGTAAATGTATCCTGTAAATATAATGTATGATGTCCTTTATTGTTTTATGTTTCATGTGGAACCTATATGCTGCAGGTCTCCCTTGAAAAAGAGATCTATGATCTCAATGGGACCAATCTGGTTAAATAAAGGTTTGAAATGAAATGAAATGACATTGGAATGATTTCAAACTTGTTTTTATTGATCCTAATAATTATAAAGGTGTGCCTTGGAAATATTTGTTTACATAAATTGTGATAAAACCGTTTGAGACACACTGAGATAACTTAGAGTAAAGTGAACTATCTAAACAGTCCTTTACCTCACTGAGCCTCTCAGGGCAAATGGAAAATGTAACCGGGGTGAAAAGGGTGTTATCTTTACTTAATTATGAATGTGAACAGTTGTATCAACAGCTTTTACAATGTGCTGCTGACTGCTGGAAAGTGGTTTTACTTTAATGTATTTGTTTCGTCCATTGTGCTAATGCAGGTGGGGCCGACCAGTTATACAAGAGGTAGATAATAGTTGTACTTTTTTTTAATGAGCCACATGCCATGATGCACCAACATAATTGTATTATTTAGACTGACATTAAGAAGTTGAATCAACTCATTACAGGGCGAGAGAGTGAGAGTGAGAGAGGGAGAGAGAGAGAGAGAAGAGAGAGATGAAGAGCCGATGAGCGAGAGAGGAGAGAGAGAGAGAGAGACGAGAGAGAGAGATGAGAGAAGAGAGGAGAGAGAGAGGCAGAGAGAGGAGTGACGAGAGTGAGAGAGGAGAGGAGAGAGATGAGAGAGATCAGACAAAGTGATATGAGTGATAGTGAAACGTTTTAACTTCATTTAGCAAAACATAGCGTGAAACTTTACCATGCAAGTTTCAAAGTAACTTCCTGAAATGTAATTGTCTGCGGTGATTCTACGGAGTCCCCAAAGGCCCAAAAGTGTGCACACAAACATATTTTCGGCTGCCCGGGCATAAAATCTCTGTTAGTTTAAACTCCCACTTCACTACTTTACATTCAAAACAAATAGCTTATAAAATGTGGCACGGCATTATTTGATAAAGCTACATATTAGTCTATAAATAGTTACATCATACTTATCTTAACCAGCAACACCAATAAAATACTGCTTCACATAAATGCATCGCAAATAATCATCAGTTTGTATTCAATGCATATAGAGGCAACTGAACCACACATCAACATTTCATCCATGCATTTCTTCACTTGTCAGTAGTTGTTCAAGCTCTCAAACAAACAAGCGGGCAGTACATCACATTGGCTCTTTTTGCTGCTACTTTGACAACATGGTTGCAACCGGTTTTGTTTTCGTGCTGTTGATGCCAATTTTCATTTTTTTTATATAGTGAGTTGATGATTTCATAAACTAAGAGTGAGGTATATTTTCGCCTCGCAAATTTTCCATCCAAATGAAGCAACATTTCTAAATCATTTTCAGACAAATTTGACTACACATGTTAGTGTTGTTAGATCTTATTGTCTTATATTTGTGTACAGCACTTTGAATTGCTTTGTGTTGAAAGGTGCTATATAAATAAACTTGCCTCGCCTTGCCTATGATGACTCACAATCTACTAGGATTAATAAATGTCCAAAGTGTCTATTACGTTAGTAGGAAATCCGACCTAGAGCAACTGAGCATTGGAATAGAACATGTTGTTCCATACGGCCCAATGAGAACAAACACGAGGCAGAATCTAAACAGGAAAGTGTAAAAACATGTTGAATCATTAAACATCTGATAGAACAAGAACAAGACACACCTAGTTTTTGTTTTTCTAAAAACAAAACAATGAGGTAGATACTAGCTGTCATTTTTTTTAAGGAGGGGCAGCTTGGGCGTATTGTTGTACATAGCCGCGGGAACATGTTTCGAATGGGGTGTGCTGTGGGGATGACACCAGGGCCGGTTCTGACCAATTTGCTGCCCTCGGCAAGATTTTTGCTGGTTCATTTATATCTTATTTTACCAGTTAACATGTATTTATCCATATTTTTTAATCTCTCCAGTTTTAAAGGATATTGTTGGTTTACTGTCCTATAGTATACATTGGAATGATTTCAAACCTGTTTTTATTTATCCTAATAATTATAAAGGTGTGCCTTGGAAATATTTGTTTACATAAATTGTGATAAAACCGTTTGAGACACACTGTGATAACTTAGACTAAAGTGAACTATCTAAACACTCAGAGTCCTTTACCTCACTGAGCCTCTCAGGGCACATGGAAAATGTAACCGGGGTGAAAAGGGTGTTATCTTTACTTAATTATGAATGTGAACATCAAGGCCGAAACATTTTTTTTTTTGTATTATATTTGTATTATATTTCCATTTAATCTTGTGGACGTGCAGATTCCCTGTCCTCCATCAGGGGGTGCTGCAAGCACCCTCAGCACCCCTACTTACCACGGCCCTGTATGAAAAGGTTCAACTACGCACGCACACATGATCTCGGCTCGCGCAGCACGCTCACAGGCATAGATTGTGCAAGAGGTGCAGTGCAGGCATATTGTTATTCAAGAGATGCGTTGTTCTTTTGGAAAACATGTTTTTCTTTTCAATAATACTCATTACATTGACACATGCATTATTTGTGATTAAAATAATGGTTGTTGGTAATGTATTAGCGACCCCCACAGATGTATGATTTCACTGCGTCCGTGGGAGCTCAGACCCCTCCTTATGGGAGCTCAGCTCCCATTGGCTCCCACATAACTCGAACCCTGGGCGCCAGGGTATGGCTGGGGTAGGCTACAGCCATACCAAGAAATTGCTTAGCCCCACCGTAGCCCCACCATGAAAAATGATGTTAAAGTAAGCTAAATAAAGTCCGCCAACTCGCGCGGAGTAAATTGCACAGACAGCAGTTAGTAAGATTGATTTCAGTAGCCGGAAATACCGAAGACTAGAAACGGTTTTGAAAACTTTTGTCACGTAGTGATCGTCTTCTCAATAAAACATCTTTGATAATGTCTTCTGGCCAATCAGAATCACGATAACGGCGTGGTGTTGTTGCAGGAAGTCCCGACGGAGAATACTTTTGATGTAGTACATCTCTATATACATCGATACAACATTACGTGTTGATAGAAATCAACACCTAATGAAATAAGACCCCACGGTTTGATGATTGATAGGTGTGTGGGCTGTCTTTCATTTTGACACACAGAACAATGGGGGCTATCCACCCTTATCCACAATGTAAAGTAATTCACACAGCCTCTTCCCTCTTCTCTCTTACCCCTTTCACACCAACGGTGTTTCAGGGCCGGTTCGGTGCTGGTGCTTGAAAAGCACCGGGTTTTCCTGTTCACACCGCAGCGGAGCAGCGTCATAGCTCCGGAATCCGGTTCGTTTCGAGCACCAAAAAGTTGTCCGTCTAGAAGCAAGAACCGCATACGTCACGCGTACATCGGAGGGGGGCGAGATTAACCTGAGCTAACAGTTAAGGCGAGTACGGCAAATAAAAGTTGTAACAAGCAGTAGTGCTGAGCAAAGTGACGAGAACGCAACCACACACTTGTTAAAAAAAACACGCTTTATAAAGTCAGGCAACACTAACCAG